TATATAATATATACATATATATATATAAATTTCATTTTTCTTCAACCCTTTCAAACAAGCATCTTGCTATTCACGTAAGATTAAACCGAGAAGCGTATACATTTTTTCCCGGTACGAGAAGCTATTACAGTCTGATATACGCGCTATTTCATTTGGTATCGCCATGTTAGGCTAGATTACTCCGGCCATTATCCTCTGTAAGAAAGAACGCGTGGAAGCGGGTTTCTTTCGATCGACTTCCGGCGTTCCCAACGAGGTTTCCACGTTCCCGCACGTGTACGGAGCAATCGAGCGCTGCCTCGTTACCGCGCCGCGTAATTGGTAATTGGTAATTGTCGGCAATTGGCCGAGAGATATGGCCTGGCTGCGACGTGCTCTCATGATCGTACTTATCGACAGATCTTGGGCAACCATTTGGAACGCCTGAGCACACCGTGTACAACGAGTCTAGTGAAATAGAGACGTTTGTTTAACCCTTTGACTACACAATGCTGCATCATACACACCGTGACATGATCCTGTTAATTAAAGCTTCCCAATTATATCATGAAATGCATTCTCTACGAAAAATATGAAACGCATCGATGCACGACACCGTGGATAAAGGGTTAAGGAAACTCTGTGACACTCTCCATGCATACACAGTGTCACCGAAGAACCAAAGATCGATGTTCCACGAGTATAGATCGATGACGGTGGGACAGAGAATGAGGGGAACGGCGTGTTATCTTGTCGGTCGATTCAAAGTGGCGGAAGCGAGCGAGAGGGGTTGGTGGGCGGAAGGAGCCGGTTTTTCGAGAATGGCTGCCGTAGGTGTCGAAGAGACACGGGGCTCGAACGAGGCCGCAATTAGGCGGTCCCGGGGTCGACGAGCAACGACGACGAGGTCGGGCATTATGCAAAGCAGATTTTAAATTTAGATGTGGCCCACCGTGCCCAAACACCCACACACACACGCGCGCGCGTAACTCTATATACACCCCCGTAGGCAGAGATTCGACTACAGAAAAGCAGCATGGTCACACGGACGGCTAAAGACAGGCGAAAAGAGGGATGGGGGGCTAGTGTATACGAGCGTGGGTCGTGTGTCGTGCTCGACAAATTAGCGCGTTTTAAATCCAATCCAAGCCGAAAGGGGGGAGGGGAATCGTTATGGACTGGCGTGGCGAAGAGGGGCAGCCAGCAGCTCGAGGGATACACGACGAGCTGTTTTGCATTTCTGGCTCGCTCGCGCTCGCCCAACATTTGAGGTGTAAAATATTAAATCCAGGCGCCTCCGCCATATCGCCTACGTCCTCGAAAGAGAGGAGGAGGAGGTGGTGGAGGAGGCGGATGGAAACGGTACGCGGATTGGGGGTGCGGTGTGCAGAGAGACACGCGAGCGGCGGGAGGGAGGAGGAAGGGTGTCGAGAAGGGGTC